TTGCTTGCAGCAGTGCCTCTACAGCATCATATACCAGTATCATGGATATGGTCAAGAAAAAGGAGATTACTTTACACTGAAGAGAATCTCAGAAGCCCCAAGTTACTAAAGTCTCCATATAGTTTAGTGCAGTTTAGGGTTAGGGTTTTTCTGTCTTTTTTTTTTTTTTTTTTTGTTTTCTTCTGGTGGGCTCCCGGTCACACTTCTTTGTTTCAAACTTGGTTGGTTCTTAGTTTTGGGGATTGAACACTGCTAAAACACCCATCAATTCCATAATTCTTTTGCCCTTTGAACTCTTTGTTAATTTTCCTTCTCCACTTCGGTTTTACACTTACAAGAAATCCGGGGCCCCTTTTACTCCCAGTTTTTTCTTTTTTTGGTGTTATTACATCTAAATTTTTTCAGAACGAAATTAATGAAAATTGAGAGTATAGAAAAGTTTGAGAAAATCTCTCCACAGTAGCTTTTGCTGTTAATCTTGATTAATGTTGCATGACTAACCTTTTGCTGTTAGTCTTCTTTTTAAATAATAAAACTCTATACATAGATATTCTTATATAACATAAATGTTAAATATTTTAAAATATATATATGTATATACTTCACTATATTTAAATAGCCTCTATGGTAATTTTGACTTTTAACGATCTATTAAACAAATAATTAAAACAAAGCAAATGACATGATTTAAAAATGTAAAGGATAAAAAAAAAATATTTATTCATCTAAGAGGACCCGAGTAACAACTGATCTTTCGAATGTCTATGAAGTCAATGAAAAATATCGTACATATATCTATGGTATAACCTAGATTAAAAAGGATAAATTTCATTAAAAAAATTAATACATTTTCTTGTCATATTTAAACTTACCAACCTTTGGTAGTTTTAAACACCCACATAAATGATATTCTCATTTGTTAATCATGCAAAAAAACTATATCTTTTAAAACAATGGACAAGGGTTATTTATTCGTGCATACTGCCAAAGCATCACGTATAAGGTTAAAAGAGAAGACTTAATTTTTGGACAACAAACTAACAACAAATTTTAGTTTATTTTTGGACTCCTAAACATCATCAAATGAACACTTTTATTTGCAATAATTTATTCCACTCATTTATTTCAAAGTAGTTAATTTTACATTTTTTTATATATAAATAACTAACAAAATAACGATTAAGCTAGTTGAATAGTCTTTTTAAATAGTCACACTAAAAACAACCAAAGTATTTAGAGAAAATCTTCATTAAGACATTCTTCCAAGCATATAAATATACTTGCATATTCATGAATCAAGGCAAAATCACGTGGTTCAATTTTACAACAAGTTCATTGAGTTTTAAGTTTATGAATACAATTAGATTGAAGTACAAAATTAACAGATATAGAGACTAAGAAATAACCAATAGTTGGTAACCCTTCTATTTGTAATCTCCATAATACTCTACATTTTTTAAAAAAAAATTTATCCTCTTCTCTATGTTTCCCCTTTACACGGAGACCTAAGAAACGCCTGTTCAAATTTTTTCGTAATCTCACCTCGCACTTTTGCTCTCTATTTCCCCCTTTTTCTTCCCTAAATGTTAAAAGCATGTCTCTTTATTCACTATCTTTCGTTCATTTTTCTTTTTTTGAACAAATGAAGCCTAAATCCTTAAAACCTCTCTCTTCTTATATTTTTCTTTCTAAAATTTGAAACACATCTTTACTTGTCTCTTTTCCTTACGTTCAAAATCTTTGTATTATTCTTTCTCTATTCACTATATTCTTCTTTATGTTACTCCCGAACATCTTAAGCCCCTATTCTTAAATTAACTTTTTTTTTCCCAAATCTTCATTTTTTCACTCTTCTAAGCTTATGACAACCATTAATAGGTTTGGTATTTTGTTCTAATTATAAATTATTTTTTTAGATGAATTATAAATTATTTCAAATGTTCTTTCTTATCACTATTTCAAATTTAATGGATAATATATAATAGCAAGGCCTAAGGGAGAAGAGAAAACCTAGGCCCAAGCTAGGAAAAAAAAAGAAAAGAGCCCTAGCAAAAAGGATGGGGGAGTGAAGGAGAGAGGGAGAGTTAGAAGAAGAAGGAAGAAGAATAAAAGGAAGAAAGAGAATAAAGAAGCGTAGCACGATGGAGGGACATTGGATCTGCGACGCTTCTTCCTATCAGATCTGTGTGAGGACACATGTATACACAAACGATTGAAGGAGGAAACTTACGTGCTATGGAAAAAGAAAATTGATGCGGCAGTTTGACATAATGAGAACCCGAGAGCGTTGAACTTGTTCGGGGAGAGAAGGAACCGCACATGCAATGATTTTGGTGTAGATTTATTCTAGATCTGAGCTCATTGTTGTCTGCGACAAGTTTTAGCCAAAGTGTGGCGGCATGTGGCGATCCCAACAATGGTGCGTGTAGCAGCACGTAGTGATTCCAGTGACACGCGTGTGATGATACATGTGATGTCACGTGGTGACTCCGATAAGTGGGGACTGTGTGTCGAAGGTAAAATTAGTTCTCCCTTCATGTTGTGTTCATAAAAAAAAAAAAGATAATAATAATAATAATAATAATAATAACAATAATAATAATAATAAATTAAATAAAAATAAATTAAAAAATAATTAATAATTATTCATCATTTAACATGCTTATTTCTGTTTTAAAAATGAGAAAATTATCCGAACATAAGCCAGAATGAGAGAGGACCATAGACTCGAACCCAGTAAGAGTCAATACATTTTCTAATCAACTTTCACATAATAATTGAGTCAATTTTTATTTGGGGACTTTACATTTTTGTAAAAATAGTTTATTAATTTTAAAATGATTATTTAGAATTTTATACATTATTTTGAAATTAGGTCTCAGCATATATATTTTCTGAAAAATCTGCATATAAATGTAGACTGTATGTGAATGACTCTCTGTAATTGTATATGTATATTGCTACGGGTGCAAATATGTTGTGTGTTTTGGGTACATTTGTTGTAATTATGTATATATGTAGTTGTATTCATGAATGTGTGATGTGCATTGTATTGCATATATCTATGAGTGTCTCAAATCATAATTTATGTAAGCGCATAAATTTAGGTGTGAGTAATGATAAATATATGTATATAACAATACATATGTATGTGAGTTGGTAGGTAAATATGATGATTATGTGCGGAAAACCCTACTGTAGATACTATAAATATTTAAGGCGCTCACTTAGGCTAAGGGGTGAGGAGGACCGATATTTATAGTGCCCATATAGGTTGAGGGATGGAGATAACCGATGTTTATGGTGTTCACCTAAGTTTAGTAGTGAGGACAATCGATGTTTATGGCACTCACCTAGGTTGAGGGGTGAGGACGACTGATAATTTGTTATGAAAATATTTCGAGTATCCACATGTAGAAGAGATCTCTATGGAAAATTGATGATTATGGTAAATAGAGCATTCACGCGATGAAAAGGCATAAAGTAGAAATTGTAAACAATAATGAAAAAGTAATTGAAAATGAACGTGCAAATGAAAAGTGATAAGTAAAAAGTGCAAAGTGAAAGTGATATTGACATGTGCAATGATAAGTGGTTCAATAATAAGTATAAAATGATTGTTACAAAGTGTAAGTGTAAGTGTAAGTGCTATGAAATTAGTAAAGGGTATTTTAATGAAATTACTAGTTTATGTGAATATGATTA